TTATTGTGTGGCAGATGTGCTTGTCAGTGTGGGTATGCATGTATGCCTGTGGATGTGTGGACATGTATGGGTGAGTGTGTAGAGGCTAGAGGTCCAGGTCAGGCATCTTTTCTCAGTTGCTCTTCACATTTATTTATTTAAAATATTTATTTTTTAAATTTTATGTGTAGTTGTGTATTGCCTGCATACGTGTAAGTGCACCCATATGTACAATGCCCATGGAGGCCAGAAGAGGGCACAAGATCCCCTAGGACTAGAGTTACAGATGGGTGTTAGATACCATGTGGGTGCTGGGAAGGGTCCTCTGTAAGAGCAGCCAGTGCTTTTAACTACTGAGTCCTCTCTCCAATCCCTTCACTTTTACTTTTTGAGACAGAGTCACTCACCAAACTTGGCTGGCCAAAGAGCTTCAGGAATGTACCTGTCTCTACCCTTGGTTCTGGGGTTACAGATATCTGTCTTTTACGTAGGTTCTAGAGATTCAAGCTCAGATCCTTATGCTTATGCAGCAGGCACTTTACTGATAGAATTGTCTCCCCAACCTGTCTCCATTCTCTTAAAGTCTGCCCGGCATTCCCATTGCATGTTCAGTCCCCTCTGTGGTCCCCCTGGGCTGTTGGGAGCTCCTGACACATAATAGATATAGAAGTTAGCAGGGTCTCAACAGTCCTTCCTTACATTCTCTTCCCAAAGGCCTTGGGGGAAGGGACAGTGCAGACCCCTCAGGTGGACACTGACTTCAGACAGATTAGGTGAGCTGCTTAAGGGACTGGAAGGTAGTGGTAAGAGTCCAGATCCACCTTCCATGTCAGGGCATCCTGCCTCACAGGGCAAAGGAAGTGAGATTCTGATGTAACATTTCTTCACTGCAGTGCCTGTGTGTGTGTGTGTGTGTGTGTGTGTGTGTAACATGCTGGCCATGTGGTCAGCAATATCATTACCAGGGGCATTAGGCTTCTTGCTATGACAAAATGTCTAAAGGAAATAACTTGAAGGAGGAAGGTTATTTTACCTCATGGTTTTAGGTTTAGTTCATTAGGGAAGGGAGGGCCAGGCGCGGTGGTGCATGCCTGTAGTCCCAGCTACTCGGGAGGCTGAGGCAGGAGGATCACTTGAGTCCAGGAGTTCTGGGCTGTAGTGTGCTATGCTACTTGGGTGCCTGTACTAAGGTCAGCATCAATATGGTGACCTCCCAGGAGTGGGGGACCACCAGGTTGCCTAAGGAGGGGTGAACCAGCCCAGATCGGAAACGGAGCAGGTCATTAAGGCAGGGACGGATGATGGAACAGAGGTGCTCACCTTATAGCAGCCAGGAAGCAGAGTGAAAACATCCAAGTTAGCTGGTTCCTCCTTTGTCCTATCCCCATCCCTTTGACACAGGGTCTCATGTATCTCAGGCTGGCCTTGAACTTGCTATGTAACCGAGGGTGACCTTGAATTCCTGATCTTCCTGCTTCCACCTCCCAAATTCAGGGATTACAGCATGTGTGCTACCACACCTGGTTTATGCAGTGCTGGGATGGAACCCTGGGTTTCATGCATGCTGGATGAGCACTCTACCAACTGAGCTACATCTCCAAATGGATTGTCCCATTTTTATTCTATCCAGGACCCTGGGCTATGGGATGGGACTTCCCACATTCAGAGTAGGGTCTTCTCCACTTAATTCTCTCCCAGACATACCCAGAAGTGGTTTTCTCAGAGTGTGCTCCTGAAACCCAGGGTACTGGCCTCAGCTAGGGCTGGCTAGAAATGCACATCTATACACAGGTCGAATGAATAAGAGTCTTTGGAGTGGGTCCTAGCACTCTGTTGTTACAGCCTGTAGGTGTCCTGAGGCATGGCAACATGTGAGAACCACTGGGACAGAACCAGCGGCATCACAGAAGGGGTGAGCCTGAGCACTGAAGACAAGATGGGGCGGATGAGCAGAGAAGGTGAGAGCCCCATGAGGGAGGGGCTGCTCAGTCACTGAGGCCAGTCATGGGAATGGAAGGGCAGAAGGATGACATGAGCTCTGCATAGCACAGAATTAGTGCAGGACCACCTGGAGGGTTAGCCCTCAGGGCATCTCCCTGGTCCCCTTTACGTGTATGTGTTTGTGTGGGTACATGTACCTGTGTGTGCACATAGCATGTGTGTATGTAGAGGCCAGAGGTCAACCTTGGATTTCATTCTCAGGAATCTACCTTGCTTCTTGAGATAGTCCCTCACTGGGACCTGAGGCTTACCAATCTGGCTGGGTGGCCAGGAAGCTCCAGGGATCCTCCAGTCTCTGCTTCCCAGCATTGGGATTACAAGCATGAACCACCATGCCTGCCTTTTTTTTTTTTTTTTTTTTTTTTTAAATCTTTTGGGGATTGTTTTATTTCATGTGGTAACATATGCTAAAATTTTCTTCCTTTTTAAAGCTGAATAATATTTTATACATACTGCAATATTATATAACATTCAACATGATAAATGTGTGTGTGTGTGTGTGTGTGTGTGTGTGAGTGTATTTGAGACAGTGTCATGTAACCTAGGCTGGCCTCAAACTTGCTGTGTAGTAAAGAATGAACTTGAACTTCTGATCCTCCTGTCTCTCCCTCCTGGGTACTGATATAATAGGCATAAGCCATGATACCTGGTTTTTATAGCATATTGAGGATTGAACCCAGGTCTTTATACATGCTAGGCAAGCACTTTACCTTTCAAGTCATATCTGCAGCCCCAAAATTATGTTATTGACCACACTTTTTGGTTCATTTTTCTGTCCATAGATGTTTGTGTTGCTTCTACCTTTGCTATGCCTGCCTTTTTATGTGGGTGCTGGACACGTCCCCTACCCTGGGTCTGGAAATATACTCAGGGCTGACCCTGGGGTTGTCAGAACCCTGTCTGATGCTGTTCTCAGGCCATCTTCCACCCCACCCCACCCCCGCCAAGAAGTCACCTCTGACCAGTCCTGTCATATGCTCAGCCTATTCCGCGTCCTTGCCTGGACATGGCTTGTGACTGTCAGCTGCTGGGATAAGGTATGTGAGAAAAACTCACCACAATGGTAAATTGGTATGAAACCCTTCAACTGCAGCCCTGACCTTTTATCTCAACAACTTCTGTGCTTCAACCTGACTATGTGAGACACAGACCTGCCCCAGAGTCCTCTCTCTAGCCCTGTGAAGTCCACCTGAGTGAAGCCCTACTATAGAACAGGGCTTAGACACCAGAGAGGACAGCTCTTCAAACTACACAGCTGAGGAAGGATTCGAACTCTGGTCTGTTACACCTTTTGAGCTCTTAATCCCCACCCTCTGTCAGGTTTGCTCTGAGCTGGCATGAGGAAGCCTGGCTGTTCCCTACCCCATGCCACAAGTGGTAGAGGAAGGAGGTTGCTTCTCCCTCTCTGGCTGGCTGGCCCCCCTCCCTGCCCTTGTCCCATGGAGGAGGGGTGAGGGTTTGCTATGCTGTCACTAGAGAACACAGGAGACGCTCCTAGAGCTCTTGAGGGGTGATTTTGTTGGAAAGGCAGATAAAAGGACATCAAAAGGGAGCCCAGTGTGTG